TGACTTTAGCACCCCCCTGCCCTGACTTCAGGCCCCCCCACCCCGCCCTGACCTCCCCCAAACCCCGACCCCAACTTCAGCACCCCCAACCCGAAAACCCCAAAATTCGCACCAAACCCCGACCCTGACTTCAGCACCACCCCTGCCCCCCAACCTTCAGCACCCGCCTGACCCTGACCTCGCATCACCCTGACCCTAACTTCAGCACCACCCTGACCCCAACCTTTAGCACCCCCCCCTGACCCTAACTTCAGCCCCCCCACCCTGACCCCGCCTCCAGCACCAAACCCCGAACCCCCCAAAATTTAGCACCACCCCCGCCCCAACTTTTAGCCACCCAAACCCCGGAAACCCGACCCCTTAAAGGGAAAAAACCCTGAACCCCAAAATTCAGCCCCTCCCGGGCCCTGACTTTAAACACCCCCCCTGACCCTGACCTCAGCACCCCCCCTGAAACCCCAACCTTTTAAACACCGCCCTGATTCAGCCCCCACCCCGACCCCCAAAATCAAAACACCCCCCTGACCCCGACCCCGCACCCCCTTGACCCTGCTTCAGCACCACCCTGACCCTGTTTTCCCGCACCCCCAGGCCTGCCTCACACCACCCTGACCCTTTTAACCCTTTAGCACACCCCCTGCCCTTTAATTCGCACCCTTTCCCGAAACCCCGACCCTTTAGCACCAACCCCACCCTAAAATTTTAGCACCCCGCCCTGACCCTGAACCCCGCATCCCCCCTGACCCCTTAAAACCTTCCAACCCCCCACCCTGACCCTAACTTCAGCCCCCCGCCCTGACTTCAGCACCCCCTGACCCCCCAAAATTCAAGCCCCCCAAACCCACCGGAATGCCCCCCTTTAGCCCCCCCTTCCGGGAAACCCCGAAAATTCAGCAAACCCCCCTGACCCTGAACCTTTAGCCCCCCACCATTTGGACCCTAAATTCAGCCCCCCCACCCCTTGGACCCCTTAACTTCAGCACCACCCTGACCCTGACCCCAGCACCAAACCCCGAAACCGACTTCAGCCCCCCCTGACCTAACTTCCGCCAAAACCCCCGAAACCCCAACTTTAGCACCAACCCCGACCCCCAACTTTTAAACACCCCCTGACCCTAACTTCAGCCCCCACCCCACCCCGCCTCGCAACACCTTTTACCCCCAATTTTTTCACCACCCTGACCCCGACTTCAGCACCACCCCTGACCCTGCACCCCAGCACCCCTGACCCCAACTTCAGCACCACCCGACCCCGACTTTAGCACCCCCCTGACCCCATTTACCTCCCGCACCACCCTTGGGGGGGGAAAAATTTAACCCCCCCTGCCTAACTTCAGCAACCCCCCGACCCTAACTTCAGCCCCCCTTTACCCTGATTCGCACCACCCCCCGACCCCTTAAAATTCAGAACCCCCCTGACCCTTCTTCAGCACCACCCTGAAATTCCCGCACCACCCCGACCCTAAAACTTCGCACCACCCGACCCTGACCTCAGCACCCCCTGACCCTTAAAAATTTAGCACCACCCTGACCCTTTAGTACCCCCTGACCCCAACTTCAGCACCCCCTGAAACCCCGACCCAGCACCCCCCTTGACCCTGACCCCTTTAGCCAAACCACCCTGACCCGAAATTCAGCAAACCCCCCTGACCCTAACTTAGCACCACCCTGACCCCTAAAATTCAGCAACCCCCCTGACCCTAACTTCAGCCCACCCTGACCCTTTACCTCACACCAACCCGGCCCAAACTTCAGCACCCCCCCCTGAACCAAACTTCGCACCACCCCTGGCCCCGAAATTCGGGACCAAACCCCGACCCTGACCCCAGCACCACCCGACCCTAACTTTAGGGACCCCCCCTGACCCTAACTTCAGGGAACCCCTCCTGGGCCCCCACTTAAGCCCCCCCCGGGCCCTAACCCTTTAAGGGACCAGCCGACCCTGACCTCAGCATCACCCGACCTAACTTTAAACACCACCCCCGACCCAAACTTCAGCACCGCCCTGACTTCGCACCCCCCGGACCCCCAACTTCAGCATCCACCCGACCCCCGACCCCCAGCACCCCCCTTGGGCCCCGACTTCAGCACCACCCGACCCTGACTTTCAGCACCCCCCTGGGCCCTAAATTCAGCACCACCCCCGACCCTAACCCTTTAGCACCACCCTGACCCCGACCCCCAGCACCACCCCCGACCCTGACTTCAGCACCACCCCCCGACCCTAACTTCCCGCACCCCCCTGGGCCCTAACTTTTTAGCACCACCCTTACCCTAACTTCAGCCCACCCCGACCCTAATTCACACCACCCCGACCCTGACCTTTAGCACCTACCTTGACCCTAACTTCCCGCACCACCCTGGGCCCTGACTTCAGCACCCCCTGCCCTGGCCTCAGCACCAACCCCGAACCCCCAACTTCCAGCCCCCACCCAAACCCCGACTTCGCACCACCCTGACCCTGCCCCCCCCCCCCCCCCCCCCCCCCCCCCGCACCACCCTGACCCTAACTTCGCACCACCCCGGAAAACCCTAAAATTTAGCAAACCCCCCGGGCCCCAACTTCAAACACCCCCCTGACCCTGACTTCAGCACCACCCTGGGCCCTAAAATTCAGCACCACCCCGACCCCCAAATTCAGCACCACCCTGCTTCAGCCCCCACCCCTGAAACCCCGACCCCTCAGCACCACCCCCGCCCTAACTTCCGCCCCCAAACCCCGCTTTTAAATACCCCCCCCTGACCCCAACTTCAGCACCACCTGACCCCGACCCCCAGGGCCCCCCTTGACCCGACTTCAGCACCACCCCCCCCTGACCGCTTCACCACCCTGACCCTAAAATTCAGCACCCCCCCCTGACCCTTTAAATTCAGCACCCCCCCTGACCCTTTACCCCAAGGGACCACCCTCCCTGACTTTCCCGATCCACCCCGGAAACCCCAAAATTCAGCACCACCCCACCCTAACTTCAAACACCACCCGACCCTGACTTTAGCACCACCCGATCCTAACTTCAGCCCCAACCCCCGACCCTGACTTCGCAAAAACCCGGGAAACCCAAAATTCAGCCCACCCTGACCCTAACTTCAGCACCACCCCCGGGCCCTGACCTCAGCACCAACCCCGACCCTGACCTTCAGCACCAGCCTGATCCAAAATTCACACCAACCCGGGCCCTAACTTTAGCATCACCCTGACTTCGCACCACCCGAACCTAAATTCACCCCACCCTGGGCCCTAACCTTTTTGCACCCCCCTGACCCTAACTTCAGCATCACCCTGACTTCAGCACCAAACCTGATCCTAACTTCAGCACCCCCGACCCCAACTTCGAAACCCCCCCGGGGCCCTAAAAATTTTAGCACCACCCTGACCCTAACTTAGCCCTCACCCCCCTGCCCCCCCCCCTGACCCTAAAAAATTTTAGCCCAAACCCCCACCCCAACCTTTTTGCACCCCCCCTGACCCCAACTTCAGCACCACCCTGAAACCCCGACCTCACCCACCCTGAACCCCGACTTCGCAGCCAAACCTGATCCCCAAAATTCCCGGGACCCCCCCGGGCCCCCCAACTTCAGCAATCCCCTGACTTTGCACCCCGCCTATCCAACTTCAGCCCACCCTGACCCCAACTTCAGGGACCCCCCTGACCCCAAACTTCGGGTCACCCTTAAACTTTAGAAAAAAACCCCACCTAACTTCAAAACCTCACCCTGACCCTGACTTCAGCATCACCCTGACCCCGACTTCAGCTCCCCCCCTGACCCTAACTTCAGCCCTCACCCTGACCCCAACTTCAGCACCACCCTGACCCTTAAACTTCAGCACCACCCTGACCCTGACTTCAGCACCACCCTGACCCTAACTTCAGCACCACCCTGACCCTAACTTCAGCATCACCCTGACCCTGACTTCAGCACCACCCTGACCCTGACTTCAGCACCACCCTGACCCTGACCTCAGCACCACCCTGACCCTAACTTCAGCACCACCCTGAACCTAACTTCAGCACCACCCTGACCCTGACTTCAGCACCACCCTGACCCTAACTTCAGCACCACCCTGACCCTAACTTCAGCACCACCCTGACCCTGACCTCAGCACCACCTTGACCCTGACTTCAGCACCACCCTGACCCTAACTTCAGCACCACCCTGACCCTAACTTCAGCACCACCCTGACCCTGACCTCAGCACCACCCTGACCCTAACTTCAGCACCACCCTGACCCTGACTTCAGCACCACCCTGACCCTGACCTCAGCACCACCCTGACCCTAACTTCAGCACCACCCTGACCCTAACTTCAGCACCACCCTGACCCTGACTTCAGCACCACCCTGACCCTAACTTCAGCACCACCCTGACCCTAACTTCAGCACCACCCTGACCCTGACTTCAGCACCACCCTGACCCTAACTTCAGCACCACCCTGACCCTAACTTCAGCACCACCCTGACTTCAGCACCACCCTGACCCTGACTTCAGCACCACCCTGACCCTAACTTCAGCACCAGCCTGACCCTGACCTCAGCATCACCCTGACCCTGACTTCAGCATCACCCTGACTTCAGCTTCACCCTGACCCTAACTTCAGCACCACCCTGACCCTGACTTCAGCACCAGCCTGACCCTATCTTCAGCACCACCCTGACCCTAACGTCAGCATCACCCTGACCCTGACTTCAGCATCACCCTGACTTCAGCATCACCCTGACCCTAACTTCAGCACCAGCCTGATCCTAACTTCAGCACCAGCCTGATCCTAACTTCAGCACCACCCTGACCCTGACTTCAACATCACCTTGACCCTGACCTCAGCATCACCCTGACTTCAGCATCACCCTGACCCTGACTTCAGCATCACCCTGACTTCAGCATCACCCTGACCCTAACTTCAGCACCAGCCTGATCCTAACTTCAGCACCAGCCTGATCCTAACTTCAGCACCACCCTGACCCTGACTTCAGCATCACCCTGACACAGTTCTTCCTCCAACAGGCTCTGCTGGAGCACGAAGACGAGCTTCCAGAGAACATGAAACCCTCCCAGCTCATCAAGGACCTCGCCAGGGAGATCCGGCTGTCAGAGGTACTATGATTGGACCTTAGGGGTGACATCATGGAAGGTCAACCACCCACCCTTCTGGACCCTTTAGAGATTCAGAGTAAAAGTTGTTGCCTAGCAACAATTAGATTTTTTTTCTCTTTGTATGACAGACTGAATAAATATGAGGGTTCTCTCTGGTTTCTGGTTGGTTAGTTGGTAACACTGGCTTAACTATCTCTGCTCTCCACCCCAGAATGCAACCAAAGCCATCAAGACTGAAACCAGCATCAAGCTGCCTGCAGAGGAGCCGGCTGGGACCCACTCTGAGGCCGAGGAGCTTGTTTCCCCGCCGCGCAGCCCTTCCCCCAGCAGAGAGAGGCCCAAGAAAAAGGCCTCCAAGGTCCCCAAGCCTGCAAAGGTCAAAGACGGAGAGAAGAAGAAAGTGAAGAAGACCAAGGAGCCATCACCGCCTCCAAAGCCCTCCAGCTTCGCTGCCCTGGAGTCCCATGCCAAGGAGATCCTCAGCAAGATGGACCAGCAGAAAAAGCCAAAGGTGAAAACATTTCAGCAGAACCAGAACGTTTCCATAAACCCAATATGTGAAGCTCTAAGGTTCTGATGTGAGCAGTGGATCAGCAGATGTCCGGTTGTTCAGTTACAGAAAAATCACGTTTCATTTATGAAGTTTATTTATTTATGTAAAAAAATATCTTGGGCTTCATCAGTGCTGTTATCAGAGAGCAGAACCCTACCATGGAGAGCCATCCTCCGCCACTGTCAGAGAAACATCATGTCTGTTCTCACCGTGACTAACGGAGGAAAACGGCCAGTGAGCCAGACAGGAAGAAGCCCTGGTACATTTCAAAATAAGACAAACCAAATGTTTCCACTGTGCATGGACGTGTGACTCCGTTAGAGAGGAAGCATCTGGGGTTAGAGCTAATCCTGCTGTCTATCTCCATCCTACGGCGCGTTTAGGGGCGGAGACTCTCCGTCATCCTTGGCCATCAGGGAGACAGAGCAGGAACAGCTGACAGAATCCCACCATTGGTGAGGCGTCTCCTGTAGCCTTTAAAGGCAGTCAGCAGCTAGTGGCTCATATCCGACCCTTCATTTAGGACCACAGGAGACAAAGATTATTTAGTCTTTAAACGATGATGCCCTTGAAACTCATCTGCAAACAACGCCCCCTAGTGTCCAGCATGATGGTGATGATCTGAGCCAGAGAGAGGCAGAGCCTCTCCTGATGCTGATGATAACCAACCATCTGCTGGGATGATGGCTGTTTCCTGACCTTCTGCTGACATCTGTATGTTTCCTTTGATATTCCAGGTTGTTAAAAATGTCCTCAGCGTGTCTGAGAAAGAGACGTCAAAGCAGAACAACATGGACAAGTTTGACATCAGAGAACAGAACAAAAACAAGACCGAAGCTAAATGGAAATACAAGGTGAGCGTTTCCTCCCTAAACCTGGAAGCATCATCCAGGATATCATCTTATAATATATATATATATATATATATATATATATATATATATATACATTTTACTAGTTTTCAAGGCTGCACTTTAAAAAAAGATGAAATTGAAAGATCACGTCAAAGCAGGAAGAAGGAGAAGGGAAGTCCACTATTTCAGAGCGATATACTTCACTGGGCGTTGGGATTGGCAGAGAAACTGGCAGATGGATTAAAATTCAACAGGAAAACAGATAAAAATAGGAAAATACTAAGTACAAACTATGTGGATGTGAAGATGTAAAATACAGCAGAGTGGGTTGTTCACTGTTTTAGAAACTTTTTAATTTCGGGCAAAAGTTCCAAAAATCTTTCTAAGATTTGCCACAGCTCAGCCACCTGACGTCAGTGTGCAGCAGCAGATCAGTGTGGTCTGCACCTGCCTCCTCGAGCTGTGCATGGAATGAACGCCTCTGAAAACTCCTGGCCTGAACAGAGCAAGCGATCTTCATTGCAACGACCATGATATGCTTCATATTTAAAATATTGCCGCACAGTTGTTGTTGTTGAATGATGCAGTTGAAGCTCCAAAAATCCGGGAAAGTTTCAGACAGCTTGAACAGAGCAACGAATCCAGCAGTGCGCCCAACCATAGATGGAGCCCCATCAGTTGTGATAGATGTCATTATCTCATTATCTCTTCAGATTCCTCTTCGCACTTTAGAGTCCCTGGTAACAACCTAGCAACCGTAGGAAACCATGCCCAGCAATCAGCATGGATAAAAAAAGGTTCCTTGCATACTTTTTATTTTTCATTTTATTATTATGAAAATAAACATTGGCCTCTTGTGATCAATGATTTGATTTGTGTTTTTTAAAAGTTTTTTTTGTTGTCATAGCTATAAATAGGTCTACATTGTAAAACTTCTCGCGATCGACTGGTTATTCACCCCTGATCCAGTCTTTCATCCAGTCTATCATCTAGGCTATTATTCTGGCTATATCCAGGCTAGCATCCTGGCTATCATCCTTGCTAGCATCCTGGATATCATCCAGTCTATAATTCTTGCTAGCATCCAGGCTATCATCCAGGTTAGCATCCTGGCTATCATCCAGTCTATCATCCTGGCTATCATTCTGACTATCATCCGGGCTAATATCCAGGCTATCATCCTGGTTTTCATCCAGTCTATCATCTAGGCTATTATTCTGGCAATATCCAGGCTAGCATCCTGGCTATCATCCTTGCTAGCATCCTGGATATCATCCAGTCTATAATCCTTGCTAGCATCCAGGCTATCATCCAGGTTAGCATCCTGGCTATCATCCAGTCTATCATCCTGGCTATCATCCAGTCTATCATCCTGGCTTATCATCCAGGTTAGCATCCTGGCTATCATCCAGTCTATCATCCTGGCTATCATTCAGTCTATCATCCTGGCTGTCATCCAGGCTATCATCCTGGCCATCACCCAGGCTATCATCCTGGCCATCACCCAGGCTATCATCCAGGCTATCATCCAGGCTATCATCCAGGCTACCATCCTGGCTTTCATCCAGGCTATCATCCAGGCTACCATCCTGGCTTTCATCCAGGCTATCATCCAGGCTATCACCCAGGCTATCATCCAGGCTATCACCCAGGCTATCATCCAGGCTACCATCCGGGCTGTCATCCTGGCTATCATCCGGGCTGTCATCCTTGCTAGCATCCAGTCTATCATCCTGGCTAGCATCCAGGCTATCATCCAGGCTGTCATCCTTGCTAGCATCCAGTCTATCATCCTGGCTAGCATCCAGGCTATCATCCGGGCTGTCATCCTTGCTAGCATCCAGTCTATCATCCTGGCTAGCATCCAGGCTATCATCCAGGCTATAATCTGGGCTATCATCCAGGCTATTATCCGGGCTGTCATCCTTGCTAGCATCCAGTCTATCATCCAGGCTATAATCTGGGCTATCATCCAGGCTATCATCCGGGCTGTCATCCTTGCTAGCATCCAGTCTATCATCCTGGCTAGCATCCAGGCTATCATCCTGGCTATCATCCAGGCTATCATCCGGGCTGTCATCCTGGCTATCATCTGGGCTATCATCCTGGCTATCATCCGGGCTGTCATCCTTGCTAGCATCCAGTCTATCATCCTGGCTATCAGCCAGGCTATCATCTAGGCTTTCATGCTGGCTATCAGCCAGGCTATCATCTAGGCTATCATGCTGGCTATCATCTGGGCTATCATCCGGGCTGTCATCCTTGCTAGCATCCAGTCTATCATCCAGGCTATAATCTGGGCTATCATCCAGGCTATCATCCGGGCTGTCATCCTTGCTAGCATCCAGTCTATCATCCTGGCTAGCATCCAGGCTATCATCCTGGCTATCATCCAGGCTATCATCCGGGCTGTCATCCTGGCTATCATCTGGGCTATCATCCTGGCTATCATCCGGGCTGTCATCCTTGCTAGCATCCAGTCTATCATCCTGGCTATCAGCCAGGCTATCATCTAGGCTTTCATGCTGGCTATCAGCCAGGCTATCATCTAGGCTATCATCCTGGCTATCAGCCAGGCTATCATCCTGGCTAGCATCCAGGCTAGCATCCAGTCTATCATCCTGGCTAGCATCCAGGCTATCATCCAGGCTATAATCTGGGCTATCATCCAGGCTATCATCCGGGCTGTCATCCTTGCTAGCATCCTGGCTAGCATCCAGGCTATCATCCTGGCTATCATCCAGGCTATCATCCTGGCTATCATCCGGGCTATCATCCGGGCTGTCATCCTGGCTATCATCTGGGCTATCATCCTGGCTATCATCCTGGCTATCATCCTGGCTATCATCCGGGCTGTCATCCTTGCTAGCATCCAGTCTATCATCCTGGCTAGCATCCAGGCTAGCATCCAGGCTATCATCCTGGCTATCATCCTGGCTATCAGCCAGGCTATCATCTAGGCTATCATGCTGGCTATCAGCCAGGCTATCATCTAGGCTATCATGCTGGCTATCAGCCAGGCTATCATCTAGGCTATCATGCTGGCTATCAGCCAGGCTATCATCTAGGCTATCATCCTGGCTATCAGCCAGGCTATCATCCTGGCTGTCATCCTGGCTAGCATCCAGGCTAGCATCCTGCTGACGTTCCTCATGTTTGAACAGACAATAAACCCTGAATCATCTAAAAGCAATTAACTGACTTCAAAGTGGGACTCGGCAGTAATGACACGGCCCGAGTCTCCCATTTCAGCTCTGCAGTCCATCATCCAGCCGCTCAGAGTTTACTGAGTGGAATTAAGCCATGTCCAGATCCAAACACCTCCCTTTAAGCACTTCCACATGTCCAGATGTGTGATCATTGCTGAATAATTGGAGGAAGCTCTTGGGGAACAAACGGCAGACATCGGAGAGCTTCAGTTTCATGGAAAATTTGGAGCCAGACTTCTGAGGAATGTTATCCGCCTGCTGCTTCGCATCATCTGCAGATGGAGAGCCTGTTAGCTCCTCTCCAAGGTTACCTTTGACTCATGTAAGCAAGCAGAGAAACAGAGGCGGCGTGTGCCAGCTATTAATCCCGTCCAGAACGTTAGCGCTGATTAGACAGAAAGCTTCAGGATCGCTCTGATTACACAGAACAAACACTCGGTGGAAGCTTGATTACAGCTTCATGGCAGCCATGTTGGATTGGCCCTGGAACATCTGGTCATGGATGTTCTGGGAACAGAATGGTTCTGCCTTTAGCTCCTAATACAGGATGTCCACAAAGATGAAGGCCGTTTGAAAGCAAACAAGTTGTTTTTTTTAATAGCTGCCCAGCCTGTGATCAATGTCTACAGGACCGCGGAACAGTTCTCCTCTGTTAGCTAGCTGCAGCTCGTAGCTTCCCAGCCTTCCCAGGGTGTTCTAGCCATACAATAAAAAGCACAGTCACAAATATTACATTTCCAATAAATTCTATTCATTTTATTTCTATAGCGCCAATTCACATCATGTCATCTCAGGTCACTTTCCAGTTCACCAGATCATCCAGTTTGATTCAAAGTTTTCTATCTAAGGAAAACCATCGACTCATTGACTCTTCAGCAATCCCTCACACTGGCTATGCTTGTAGCAACAGTGGAGAGGAAAAACTCCCTTTGAACAGGAAGAAAGCTCCAGCAGAACCAGAACCAGGCTCTAGTTTAGAAATGATCAGAGAATCCCAAAAAGTAAAATAAAACATCTAATAAAACACTTCAGGGCATCAAACGGTGCTGTTTGTTTTAGATTATTTACTATGAGTTCAGCAGCTATGTTGCAGTTGATTATTCCAAAGATGCGATGTTTTATTTAGAGAAGCTCTCTTTAGTGCTTTGATTTTGGGTTAAACACGCTGCCCATTACTGGAACCTCTAGTGTTGTGATCATGAACTATTTTTGATTGTATAAAAGCTGGAACATTACTGCTGATACCTGACTTAAACAGCAGAAGTGTAATAAAAAGCAGCTTATTATCAACAGTAGGCAAGGACAGGCGGCCATGCCTCTGGCTGACTTTAGAGCTAACGGAGCAGATTGTACCAACCGGACTGCCTGGGTCTGAGCTTCCAGCAGCTTTTTGAGTGGCAGCAATGTCCACACCAGAGAGCAGTAGTCCAAATGACTAGAAAAAGACCCGTGTCTTCAATCTCCCTGCTTTGAGGTGAAATATTTCCCTTTTTAAACTTGGAGCCATTTTCTAGCTAGCTAGCAGTATGTGGGGGTGGGGTGTGTTCCACAGAAGTGGGGAACCTGCAGCCATCTTATTGGGTCGGTGAGGCAGGCGGTGGTTGTTTCTGGATCCTGAGCTACCAATGCACTCCGCTGCCTTATGTGATGTCACTTCCTGAAATCTCTGCTCTCTCCTTCTGATTGGACCTTTTCAGAACAGCAAGCCAGACTCCCTGCTGAAGATGGAGGAGGAGTGTCGGTTGGACAGAACGCCGCTGTCCGGGAACAAAGACCGCTTCAGCTTCAGCGTGTCCCACAGGAAGCTGGGCAGGTAAAATGGCTGCCTGATGGTGGCCATGGCTGTCAGGGCCTCCCACTCATGGTTCTGCTCTCTCTCTCCAGCTCCAAGACACTGAAACCTCAGACCAACTCCAGTGTTTTTGGATCTTTACAAAACCTGAAGGAGGACAAAAGCAAAGCGGTGAGAGACGAGTATGAGTACGTGTCGGACGAAGGTGAGCTTAAGATCGACGAGTTCCCCATCAGGAGGAAGAAGAACGCCGTGAAGAGAGACCTTTCCTGTGAGTACTGGAATCACAGCGGAGGTTCTGCTTAGATGGTACCAGAACCTGTTCACCCGCCTAGCTGACCATCTCTTCTCCCTCTTCAGTTCTGTCGGACATCAGAGAACCTCTTCAGCCCGCCAAGAAGCCAAAGTTCCAGCCTCCGGTGAGCAAGGTGGGTTTGGTTGAACAGAACCAGAACCGAATTCTCTGGGGCCGTCTTTGTCTGGGTCCATGCAGGCGTTCTGTGGGAACGGGCTATTCTGGATGGAGAAACACCAGGGAACCAGAACTGGTCCGGATGGAGAAACACCAGGGAACCAGAACTGGTCCGGATGGAGAAACACCAGGGAACCAGAACTGGGAACCAGAACTGGTCCGGATGGAGAAACACCAGGGAACCAGAACTGGACCGGATGGAGAAACACCAGGGAACCAGAACTGGTCCGGATGGAGAAACACCAGGGAACCAGAACTGGTCCGGATGGAGAAACACCAGGGAACCAGAACTGGTCCGGATGGAGAAACACCAGGGAACCAGAACTGGTCCGGATGGA